ATAATCCTGAAGTCCACCGACAAAATGCCACCCACTTGCGTGCAAGAGCTCCTTTTCATGACCCAAAGACTCTAAAGTCCACAGCAGATTTGTTAATAAATGACTTAATGATTCCTTTAACATCGGTGATTGGTGCTTTTAGCATCTTCAGATAGATATTTCTCCAAAATGATTATTATTAGTTATGCTGCTGTTTGCAGAACCATATAAACTCTACTAATTCACACTTTGTTTTGCTGATAAACTGTTAATTTTGAGTTGCATTATATACAAAATGTGTATTTTGTTTGTTTGTTGTTTTGTCCAAGAGCCTGAAATTCTCAGCAGCCTAAAATCTTAAGATATTCTTGTTTTTTTGGTTTGGTTTGCGAGCCTGTGCGTGTTTGTCTGATAAAGGGTGTAAGTTGTTTTATTATCTTTGATAATATTACATTTGATAGACAGGACATCTCTCACAAGCCACAAGAAATACTGAAAGAACCCACTTTTAAATGATTGACTACAGGGTTTCACTGAAATCTCACACTGTCAAACCAAATCAGTTTTAAATTAACACTTTCAAAAGAGGCTTGTCGTGGATAAAAACATAAATTTTTTTAGATTTTAATTCTCTAAAGTAGAGAAGAGCTGTGTGTCTGCTGCATCATGTTTGTCACAGCGCTAACAAACCCAAAATACAGGAAACACAGAACTAGCAGCAGCAGTTAACAGATTGAAAGTCTCCTTTGAAAAATCTGAATGTGTTTAGGACTTTTCTGTGACCTAAAAGTAAAAAGATCATTTTAAAAAAAAGTACGACTTTTAAAAACATCACAGAAACCCTGAGGATATTCTGGGAGTCATGAGAGGATTACAGATGATTCTGCTCCTGATGGTTTGATCTCCAGAAGTGATGAGTGGATAGGGTTGTCACGGTAACTGGTGTAACGGTAAACCCCAGTACAAAAGTTGACAATAATAATAACCGTCTTGTTTAAAAAAAATCTATTATCTCGGTGGGTTTACCGTGTAGGTGCGGTGACCCTTACCAGCCACCGTATAATCTGCTGAAGTTGCCCGCAACACATGCACACTTTGTTTTACAACCAAATCTTTCTTGAAGCTAAAGCTGAAATAATGGCCAAAGGAGGATACAGCAGCACTCAGGACATTTATTATCCCTCAAAGAAGACAAAGTGGGAAGTACGGGCATTTTTTGGATATTTGAAGAATGCCGAGGGACAGTTGATAGAAGACGGCTATCCTGTTTGCAGCACGTGCAGAAAAAGTGTCTGTGAAAGGCAGCAACGCTTCAAATCTCATGACACATCTGCGTGACCATCACCCACAACTCTACAGTCAACGCAAGGCAAGCTAACGTTAGCGTTTTTGCTAAAATGCGTGATCCGAGGATTTGGGTTGAGGGAGAATGCAACGAGTCGCTATATAAAGCAGCCGCAGCGCCGCTACCTGCATATAAACCGTGCCGCGGACACCCCCATGTTGAAATGATGCTATGCATTATGGGGCTCCCAGGGGCAGATAAGAGTTGGTCTCTCTCTCTCTGAGAATAATTATGAATTTAACAATGATTACTGCCTGATGACATTTTCCCACATCTGCAAAGCTCACTAGAAGGACACAAACCGAGGACAATATTTTCCTGATACAGGGTTTATTACTCAAGTAAGGGTAAAAAAAAGTATCTGATTAGAAGGCCACTTGAGTACCGAGTATCATCTGATCTAATATTTTTAAAATGATGACATCAAACAGACAAAAAATAAGAAGTTATGGGCAAATATTGGTATTTTAAAGACTAAAGGGGAAAAATGTAAACAAATAAACAACATAATTACAAAATAACACATTTTAGGCAAAATTTAGACACAAACTGAGGACAATATTTCCTGAAATACAGGGTTTATTTAATTGTGTGAAAATGTAACACGTTTAAAAAAAATACCGCAATAATACCGAAAACCGTGGCCATTTTGGTCACAATAACCGTGAGGTTAAATTTTCACACCGTGACAACCCTGAGTGGATGAGGAGCTTGGTGACTGGTGTACACCCTCATCCTACACGCATGATTTAAATGATTACCTGCTTCAACACACCTTGTTTTAAGAAACGGTTCATTAAAATGCCTGTACAGAACCTGTGAAGGTAATATGAATGAAGGAAGTGAGTTGGAACAGGAAATAATAAATTCATCCCCGCAGGCAGAGGCTGGTGGAGAAGCTGGAGCTGGTGATACGGGTCTGCACATGACCCTTGACCTTAGAATAGAGTAGACTTTATTGATCCCACAGTGGGGAGTTCACTGGTTACAGCAGCACCAACACTTAAGGGAAAAATTTGAAGAAAAAATAATAACTAAGGTACATGTATGTACACATAGGCATTAAGCTAGAGTTGTAACCTTTGACCACTGAAAACCACAATTAAAAAAGAAAACATTATGCAGCATACTGTAAGAGACATGGACATACTTTGTAACTCTGGTATTGAACGAGTATTGAACACATACTGAATATAGTACTGGTGGTATTGTGTACCAGGATAATGCCAGTACCAGTTAAACTGTGGAGTTCTACACTCTTACTGCAGAGGGGATGAATGACCTACGGTTGTCCCATCCAGGATTACCTTAGGGAAAGTTCAACACGCAGGGGTTATAATAACCAGCTGATCAAAAACCAATACCAATAATCAACCAACAAATCAATTTAGACTTTGCAAAGTGGAGAATGAAATACACACCACACAAGAGGTCTGACACTTCACTCTCGTCCAACAACGTCCTCCAAGTGTATTTATTAAGCAGACACACAAAATGATAAAGGCACACACATTTACACACAAACATTCGAGGTTCTCCCAGACTCTCAGGCAGGAAGGCACTCCAGGTGCAATTTCTAAAACAATAGAGCTGTCTGGACTTCTCAAGGGAGTTCTACTGAGAAGGGGACCAGCACCAGCACCAAGTCTGGTACCGAGGGCAAGGTCAATCCTCCCTGTTAGAGCTTACAAAAGCCTGTCTGTTCCCAGAGAAATAGAAATAGATGAACCTTCATTTAAAACCTCCAGATGTCAAACCATTAAAGACATTATCATCAGTATTATCAGTTTTTATACAAAAGGTAACGTTCTGTTTTACATCTGAGATGTCTCAGTCTGCCTCTGAAGGAGCTGTCCATGGTCTCCACAGTGGAATGCAGTGGGTGGGAGTTTTTTTTTAAAGATGGTGGTCATCTTCCCCAGCCTCCTCTTTTCACACGTCTCCCGAACTGAATCCAGTGGGCAGCCCAGAACCGAGCTAGCTTTGTGAGTATCAAAGCACAAGAGGACTCAAATGTAGAGCTCACACAGTTTAGTAAGCTGAAGGGATTCCTGGCAGTACAGCACAACTGAACAAGTCCAAAACTAACTAAATACACTCTCACAAAGTGTTACTGAGAGCAGGTTCACTTTACTCAACTGAAGAAGACAAACTGGCAAAGGAATCTGTTTGCAAAGAAGCATAAATGGAGAAGCCAGGACACAGGTGCAAGACATAAGGCTGATTAGTGAGGAGCCTCAGGTCGTGAAGCTGCCTGTAATGAGACAGGAAGTGAATACACAAAATAAAACAGGAAGTACCAGAAATACAATAAAACCAGAAACTTGACTGCAAAACACTCAACCTACAGAACCACCCATGACAGTGAGCTAGCTTCTCTTCCTGTTTCGGTCAGAGCTGCCTGCACCCCGACGGACCACAGCAGAGTGGATAACAGATCCAACCACAGAGTGATAAAAGAACTTTAGCAGAATTAACTCCAAAGGACCTCTGCCTCCTCAGGAGGTCGAGGCGGCTTTGGCCATTCTTATACAGCATCTATGTTGTTGGACCAGTTCAGTTTGCTGTTGAGGTGAACACCCAGGCACTTAAAGATATCCACCACCTCAGTGTCTGCTCCCTGGGTGTTTGCCAGTGAGTGAGGAGGAGTGTTTCTCTGGAAGTCAATAACCATTTCCTTTGTCTTACTGGTGTTCAAGCGAAGGTGGCTACGCTCACATCAGTCCACAAAGTCCATGATGACTGACCTGTACTCCTGGTCATTCCCATCAGACACACAGCCGACAATGGCCGAGTCATCAGAGAACTTCTGGAGGTGACAGCTGCCACCAGTTGTAGGTGAAGTCCAAGATGAAGAAGGTGAAGAGAAAGGGTGAGAGCACCGTACCCTGTGGAGCTCCAATACTGCACACAACCACATTAGACGTAGAGTTGTGCAGCCTCACGTACTGTGGCCTGTTGGTGAGGTAGTTGATGTGGGACTGAAGTTTCGACACACCAACATGACTTTGCAGAGGGTGCTGTGGGATCATGCAGTCAGATGTTCATCCACTCCTGTACCCCTCATCTTCTGCTGCAGCAGACACAGCTGGATGGTGTTGAAGGCACTTGAGAAGTGGAAGAACATGATTCTCTTAGTGCGTTTTTGCATCTGGAGGTGAGTCAGAGCCCGGTGCTGCAGGTATGAGTGTGTCCTCCACCCTTATGTTTGGTTAATATGCCAATATACCCGGGCTACTAGCACAGCCAGCATCTTTAAAAAGGTCTAAGTGGTCAGTTATGTGCACTTGTGTGTGGTGGAGAAGGTCCTGACATATGTGAAAATTGTTTATGACCAACATCAGCTCCCCTTTTCTAACCCCCACCCAGCCAGCCCATCAGCATTCTACCCTCTGTCCTTCAGGCTCAAGAATGAGCAGTCGCAGAGCCCAGAGAACAAACCTGAGGAACAGTTTATTCACTGAAGCTGTGAGCTGCGTCCTGCCCATGCTACTAGTCTGATTTTTGGCATTTATGGCTTCAGATTGTTTATCTGGGTTAGGCTAAGTGAAATGGTCTCCATGTTTTAACAAGAAGGACAATAAATAAATCTGAATCTGAGGTGAGGATATTTGAAACCGAAAGCATCTGCATCTGGACACCTGCACTACATCAAACACTGCAGCCGCAGAAGCATTTTCTTTTTCATCAGAAAGAGGAAGCACAAACATTGCACCCTCATGCTGAAACCACACGAGCAACTTCTCCATATATTTAACATAACTAAGTGAGCAGCAAACATCTTCTGTTCAAACAGCATTCCTGTTCAGAGGTGAGTCGTTTAGATACAGCGAAGTAGTTTACCTCTCGTGGTTTATTCATCATTTCCCGTGTTGATTTTCACAGATGGCTCAGATGAAGAAGGAGAACCTCTTGTTTCATGCCACGCTGCTGCTGTCGCTGATCCTGACTTCAGCTCTGACAACTCTGGATTCAGAAGCAGAGCTGCAGAGGTGCAGCTTTGGTACACCCCCACCACGCCACGGCCTCAAGCTTCTGGTGTGGTACGTCCAGAACTGCCTGGACAACAACATGAGGGCTCTGTGCCATCCCACAAAAGGAGAATATGGATTTCACTTTTTTCAGAACCGAGGGCCCGACCACTTGCTTCCGGTGATTGAGGACAAAGGTCAGTTTGGCTACTACACCATCGGAAACCTGCACTCTCCTCATGCAAGGGACCTGCCAGAAGAAGTCAGGAAGTATTACAACCCCAAAGATCCGGACAGCAACATGGACAGAGTTCTGGTGAAATATAGCACAAACAACAACCAAATTTATGAGATCTACGCATCTGCACACTATAAAGCTAGAGAAACGTACAAAATTGGTCCAAACCTTCTGGATGCTCTTCGAGGGAGAGCAGGTGTTTAATGTGGAAATGTGACATCAGGATGTTTTGATGCTGAATGCATTTCTACAGCAATCCTAAAGAGCTTCGCGAATTTGGGGAAATTCTTGTTTCAACTAAACAAATATTTGTTTTGGATAGGAAAAGTGTTGACTGTTTTCCTGCTTGGTCGATATGTGTAAACAACTGATGAACAATGAATTAATTAATAAAACAACTAATAATAAAATGAATAAACTGAAAATGCTTTGAGTTTGTTCTGTGTGTGTACAGCTGCTGTAGCAAAACCTCCACGGCAAAGAAGACAAAACCCGTCAAAGTTTACTTTAAATCATGCTGAGAGACAGAGAGAGAGGGGAATGAGAGAGAGGGAATAGAGGGAAGAGAGGGGGGAGAGAGAGAGAGAGAGAGAGAGAGAGAGAGAGAAAGAGAAAGAGAGAGAAAGAGAAAGAGAGAGAAAGAGGGAAGAGAGAGAGAAAGATAGAGGAATAATCTATTTGTTTTACAGATCAACAATCATCTTTACAGACATAGAGATCATGCATTTTGGCTTAAACCCTCTGAAACCAGAACATATGAAAACCAACAGTTTAAAAGGTGATCCTGAAGGAACCCCCTCCTCCTCCTCCTCCTCCTCCTCCTCCTCCTCCTCCTCCTCCTCTACCAGACAGAGAACCTGTCCCATCCCCCACAGAGCTCTAAAAGTGTCCAGGTTGCCAGTGAGTTTGGAAGAAAGTTGGATTTTCAAAAGTGTGCGGAAAAGAGCATGCCAGCCAAGATTTGCATAACCTGTAATGGGAAGGTGCATATGAATAACAAGGTTTTTTTAATAAATATGTATTATCAACACGTTTCTTATCCATTTGCTTCCTTACAAAATGATGGTTTATGAGCAGATAAATAAAAGAAATCCCAGTTTATTTGAAAAAAAAAATTTAATCTTTAAAATATTTGTAATTTCGAGTTACATTCCTGGGTTTTTAAACCAACAGCAAAATGGTTCAAGCAGGCAGAAATAAATTATATAAAAATACTCACTAAACATTAGACTTCAAGGTATTTAAATAAAATGTGTCAAAAACGTAAATATTTCATCATTATTTCGTCATTTTTCTAGTGAAAAACAAAAGGTTTTCAGGAGAAACACAGATTAGAAAAGTGCTCACATTATGAATGTATTAAAAATAGCCTCATCGCTCGTAATTCTAGCAATTAAGTCTGAAATGTGCGTTTGGGAGGACTGGGCTTATTTCAGATGCACTATTCACATATCACCACCAGGAAGCGCCAAATCACCATTCTTATGTCACCCGACAGACCAATAACAGCAAAATTGTTCCAATAATGTGCTTAATATTCACCATTAAATGCAAATACAGCATAACAACAAACAAAGCTAATTTCATAAAGTTAAAAGCATTAACTCAGTCCTACCTTTGCCGTATTGGGTTGTAATAATCTGTGTTATTGTAAAAAAAAAATCCACCTTTTTACATGCAAGAGAGTGTTCAAAAGTCTTTGATACCACATTCCATCTTTTTCTGGTTCTTCAATAACAAAACTCCACGAGGTGTATCAGCTGCTCTACAACAGCACAGGACGGTGAACTGTGGAGAACTTCCAGTTCTGTCCAGACCTGAGCTGAGACTTTGCCCTTCCGGTCTTCTCCCACATGTCCTTCTTCTCATCCTGTTTTTGATAAATATGAATAATATTCATGCACTCCTGGCCATGGATGTGTCTCTGCAACACTCCGACCTGAGCTTCTCTGGACATATTAAAGCCATAACTAAATCAGTGTTTTATCACCTTCATCAAATATCAAGAGTCAGTGGTCTCATGTCCAGACCAGACTTGGAGAAAAGCATTCATGCTTTTATTTCTAGTCGGCTGGACTACTGCAATGGTCTCCTAACTGGCCGTTCCAAAAAGCTGTGAAGCAACTGCTGCTTGTTCAGAATGCTGCTGCTAGAGTCTTAACAAGAACTTAGAGAACAGAGCACATCACTCCTGTTCTTAGATCCCTACACTGGCTACCAATGAACTACAGAATAGATTTCAAAGTGCTCCTACTAGATTATAAATCACTCAATGGCATGGGACCAAAATACATGTCCGATCTCATCCCTGTATATACACCCAATAGGGCTCTGAGGTCAGCTGGTAGAACCTCGGGTCAGAACCAAACATGGTGGAGATGCATTTAGCAACTATGCTGCTCACATATGGAATCAGCTTCCCCTTGACATCTGCCCCAACCCTCCCTTGACATCTGCCCCAACCCTAGTGTTGTTTAAAACAAAACTAAAACCCTAATGTACTCATCAGCCTTTTAAAAGCATCGTTTCTTATGCTGCGTCATCTCCACTGCAACCTGCGCTGTAACTTGGTCTTCTCCTTTAGTTCCAAACTGTAATTCTATTTGTGTGTATTTTATTTTTTGTTTTTATGTTGTTTTCAGATCATGTTCTGATAACTGTAAAGCACATTTAATTGCCTCTTTCTTTGAAATATGCTCTAGAAATAAAGCTGCCTTGCCTTGCCTTCAAGTGTTAAATTACTTCATATGTGCCATTGACTATAAGGAATGTTGTGTAGCTGTGTTTGTGGACTTGGCTGAAGCCTTTGACTCTGTAGACCATAACATCTTACTTAGCAGGCTCAAACACACAGGACTTTCTCAGGCATCCGTGGTATGGTTCAGAAGTTATATAGGTCGTGCGCCAGTGAGAACAGAGGGTTACCAATCTGCTCCTCTACTTCTATCTTTGGGTATTCCTCAAGGGTCGATACTGGGCCAAACCTTATTCAAAATCTTTATTAATAACAATGTTCATGCTGTTGACAGTTCTCATATACATGGCCACGGTGGCACAGGAGTTAAGTGCTCACCCCGTAATTGGAAGGTTGCAGGTTCAGTCTCAGTCTGTTGCTGTCGTTGTGTCCTTGGGCAAGACACTTAACCCACGTTGCCAGCTGGTGGTGGTCGGAGGGACAGGTGGCACCAGTGCTTGGCAGCCTCGCCTCTGTCAGTGCGCCCCAGGGAGGCTGTGGCTACATCATAGCTCACCCAGTGTGTGAATGTGTGTGAATGGGTGAATGACTGATTGTGTTGTATAGCACCTTGGGGGGTTCCAGGACTCTAAAAGGCACTATTTCAAATACAGGCCATTTACAGGCCATTTATATGCAGACGACACCATATTATATACATGCAGTTCTTCCTCGCATGCTGCTTTGTCCTCTTTACAGCAACATTTTAATGATCTTCAACATGTCTTCTCCAACCTTCATCTTCATTTAAACACAAGTAAAACAAAGCTCATGATCTTCAACCATTACTTACCACAATCAACTTTCCACCCTAGTGTTGTTTCTCTGGATGGTACAGAACTACAGCTTGTCGGTATCTGGCTTGACAGCACACTTTACTGTGACATTCACATTAATTCATTACTTTCTAAAGTCAAGTCTAGAATTGGGTTTCTATAGCAACAGGTCATCCTTTACTCATTCTGCAAAGCAAACCTTATTCAAAATGACAATCCTTCCATTTAAGATTACGGTGACATCATTTATGCTTCCCAAAAACTCGATGGCATTTATAACTCAGCAACCCATTTGACCACTGGTGCCCCTTTAACTACTCATCATTGTGATCTGTACTCACTCGTTAACTGGCCATCACTCCACTCCTGCAGGATGTTACATCGGTATCAGTTCATATACAAAACCATCATCGGTAGAACCGTCATATCTTCTCTCATTACTCATCACTTCCAACAACCAGCACTGTTTACGTTTCTCATGGATTTTATCAATAACCCATTACCTATAGTGAAGAGAGAAGGAGACAATGAGCAGACAAGTCAAACAGTTATAACTGTGGCAAGATGCTGAAGCAAATGCCTCGAACATCTGTTCACAGACTTTATTTATAGAGTGGAAGATAAGAAAGGAGGAGTGAGGTACTTGTGTGAGAGAAGGAGAGTCAGTGTGTGTATGAATACAAGAATGTGTGTGTGTGTGTGTGTGTGTGTGTGTGTGTGTGTGTGTGTGTGTGTGTGTGTGTGTGTGTGTGTGTGTGTGTGTGTGTGTGTGTGTGTGTGTGTGTGAGAGGATGCAGAGAGGCATAGAGCAGTACATTTTACATCCAGCTGGTTGAGTCCATGATCAAGAACTAATAAACATAAATTTTTCCATAACAACGTTCCAGTAACTTATTCTCTACGGTTATTCCCAAAGCTTGCACCTCCTTTGGCCACTCCTCATTCCAGTTTGCTGCTCCCTATGACTGGAATGAGCTGCAGAAACCACTGAAGCTCACTACCTACATTCCGTTATCTACCTTCAGTAATTCATGTTGATCAACAGTTTCTGATCAATGTTCCTGCTTCTGAGTATTAAAGACTGTTTTATTGTGTTCTGATTGCTTGTACATATTATATATGAGAACAGTCCTTTGTCTTCATGTCTAACTGTTTATCTGATTTTTATCTTGCATGTTTTTATCTTACCTGTTGTTCTTTGGTGTAAAGCTAACTACGTGTCTGTTGCTGCTGCCTCTTGGTCAGCTCACCGTCGTTGTGAATGAGTTCTCAATCCACTCATCTGGATAAATGAAGGTTAAATAAAATAATAATAAAATAAAAACTCCTGACTAATTAGAGGCATTTAAAAGGCATTAAAAAGTTTGAGTGCCACACTGTGTGAGTGGAGAGGGGGAGCACATATTTTAAATTTTCCACTTCTCTAAACATCAAACCAGTTTCTAATGAGGATTTCACACTTCCTGCTTAGAAAGTTTCAGGTGTTGTTAGCTTGCAAGTGTCATTAGTTCTGAATTACTGTTGACAAAATCAGGGATTCTGAAACGTTTTCTAACAAACGACAGCAAACAGCAAGTACCTCCAGCATGATAAGCCCAAGTCTTAGGTGGAAAATTAGTTACATCAAGTCAATCTAGTGAGATATTCATTGCAGTCAAGTACAGAAATTGTTAACTGATTTGTCCATTTTTATCAATTGACAATAAAACATGCAGAAGCAATAAATCTATCCATTCCAGCCCAGAAATATCAGTTTTCTGCTGCCTCTAACGTTAGTCCACAAAGCACGCATGGTGTCCCGTTTAGTTTTAGTGTCCATCTGGAGTCAGACAAGTCCGGATCAGTCACGCTGGAATGAAAGTTAAACAATATAATCTACAGGGAAAACTCGAAACCGTGTCACAGGAAAC